ACAGATAGGGCAACCCTATTGGCTAATAAAGGACGTTAATCCGATATATATACTTAATAAGTCTCTGCCAAAATCTGATTTTCACTCCCGAGAAACTAAGTATTTTTAGGTATGGAAGTGGTCACTGCCGCCAGACACCAACTGAAGCGCGCCCAAACGCACGCAACATGTCTCTCCCGTTCCGGCCTCAACCCACAGTGGCTTGACCTCAATCCATCCAATGAGATTCCCGCTTTAGTAGCCTGACCTCATTTAGTCAGTTGGCCTTAATCCGTGAGACACAGACGACACTGAGGTGTCGCCTCCAGGCATCACTCCGGACCCGACCCGATTAGGAAATGGATGCACTAGTCCACGAGTCAAACTCCCTCCTAACTGTTTTGTACACAATACATTGTCCCACTAATCTGGTTCTCCCAAGACTTCTCTCCTCTCCTAAGGAACCGGGCTTGGAAGATCGCAGCTGTTAGAGTTAAACCTTCTTAGCTTTTACTCGGCTCGATAGCATTTCCAACCGGCAGACTCTGGCCCATGCTACCAATTAGCAAAATTGTAAACATGCTATAATAAGATTTTCCTCTGGGACGCCAGTCGCTGTGTATTGGCACAAGCTCCGGCCAACCACAAAATCATTTGTATGACAGCGTTAGCTAAGTAGCCATTTTTATCTTTGGCCCATAAGTATAGCAACGAGCTGGGAAACCAATCTCAAGCATTTACACAGTAAAGTATATTGCAGTTTTTAAAATATATATGCATATACATATTTAAATTTGTGAAACTCCCAATTGCAGGTCTCGAAAGATAAATCGGCGAGCATTCATTTGCTTTCAATACATTTTCTTCAGGTCTGTACATTTGTATGATAATTCACTATATAAATCATGCGGGTTGGTAGAAAAAAGAAGTGCGCTTGTCAAGGCCTGTGAGCGTTGGGGAATTGGGTCAACATGTCCGTGTCCGGAGGAACAGCGGCCAAGACAGCTTATGGGCTGCACGCGGTAGTGTTAGCGAGTTGCGACCATGGTAGCTACGGCGCATGGATGAGCAACCGAACCAATTGGCGAGCGAAAATCGCCTTCCTATTGGACGTCAGTTCCCTATTGCTTTATACAGATTATTTGACAACTGTATTACAGTTGACTGTTTTGACTGTTAACTACAATTGCTTCACCTATTATTTGCTCATTTTTGGTTGTTGTTTTTATTTTTATCGTTTACTAATCGTTCTTTTCTATTGGTTTTCTTAGTGTAGCATTATTTAAATGCTTTCTACTCTTCATGACATCAAGATAGGCCTACGAACGCTTTTAATTAATCATAATCGGGCAAACACAATAAAAAAATGGAGGGTAGAGTAAATTCAAGATTGGGCAACAGATCAGTAATATTTAAGGGACAGATTTCAAGAGATTAAAAGGGCCAGGGTCTAGTCATGATTATGGGCCAAAGAGGAAGAAGGGGATGAGGGGGAATGACAGATAGTTCATGTCGCCCCAACGTTTATGTCTCGCGTTTTGCTGGGAGGCGTGAGGACGCAAGGTGCCATCGTCTTGCGGTGGCGTATGCGGGCCCTAATTTGCGAGCACGAGGGCAACAGAAAAGGATTATTGCACGTTAATTTGTAAAATGAACATAGTGTCTTCATTTTTATTGGTTGCATTTATTTAATTAGTGGTTTTTATAAAGTAGCCGATAAGCGATCAACCCATGGATCCAGTAGGAAACTGATTTTCGCTCGCTGATTGGTACAGTAGTTCATCCCTTGAGCGTGTAGCATCCAGCAGGAGAAGAGGATTAATCCTTGTTTAAATACGTCAGCGCGGTTTCTTCGAGCCTGATTAAGGATGCTTTAGGTGGTGTACCCTCGTAAGAAGGGTGTATATTGGTTGTCCCCTCCCTGATGGCGGTCTCCAGCTCCACCCTCCCCTGTTGACAGTTGTGAGTAATAGTTGCCCTTCCGGCGAGGGCCCCACGGAATGTTCCAGCTCCACCTTCCCCGATTGTCTTTTTCGGTTATGTGTGATTGCTTATATGACAGTTTAGTATTATTCTGGTGAACTAGTATTAAATATATATGTGTTAAAATGGGCCTCGGTTTACCATCTATGTGAACCACTGTTACCATGGTTAAGCATTCTAGCGGAAGTTCAGAGCGTTAAAACAACTAGAAGAAAATGGACGTAGACGAATTACTAAGTACCGGCACTAACCAGAAGGAAGATACACTATCCAAGAACCCCAGTGCGCTCAGGCGTTAAAAGCGCATTAAACCAGTCTGCATAGTTTGATAATATCTAAAGAAAGCTTTCTTTGAGAAACTAACGAGGGGGGTTGCTTTTGCAGTGCGATTAATGTAAGCGTGCTTTTAAGTCAGCAATTGTGGCTCGTTTAGACACTTTATTTCGTCGCTATTTACTTTTATCTGCAGATTCGTACCAGGAACTGTTTTAAAAATTTTCAGATCGCCCACAAAATGCGCAGATTTGACAGTCGATATTCATAAACAGTAATATCGTACGAAACGTATGAGTATCTAACTGTTTGTCACCTACCTATAAGTACTGTGAGGCGCGGTATGACACTTACCTCCGACGACGGAAACTTGTCTGTTTTTGAAACGTCAGGATATTAAAATTATGGTTCCCGAGATCGCTCTTTCTTCTCAAGTATCTAACTGTGCAAACCAGATAAATGTTTCTGGCCAATAAAAAAGAACCATGGAATTTTGAAGCAGAGCATTTATGTGTGACCCGCTTAAAAGTCCCGGATCGAGTAAGATTCCGCAAGGACACATAGACACGAGGGCAGCCAGTATGGACGGGATGAAGAAATGCAATCAACACGCATGAAAGCAGCTTCCGACCGACGACATAATTATTTATTACGCCCAGTTAAATAATTAATGCATCTCACATTGCTTGAACAGTAAAGGTCTGAGTTTTATTTTGTTATTTTTAGTAGAAGAAAAATTGCTTTCAGTTCCTTAAAGGGTACAAGCATAACTAAATCTGGACATTGGCAGTGCTCCATTTTAAAAACAGAAGTTGTGAGCGCATCCATATGGCGTAGGTTCATATAATCTGCTCAGAAATGTGAAAGTCAAGCATTTTCATGTTGGAAGGAAATAACAAATAAGCAAGTGCGAGTAATGAGCACTCCTATTTTTGATTAGACGACACTTTTTATTAGAAGGAGGACGCTGATGACGCCAATGCAATTGCAGGCGGAGACTTTGTTGCCAGTAGAGTTCAGTTTGACGAGCATAAACCGGGTGGCATTCTTCGCGACAAACAAGACCTGTCTCTGTCCGACAAAATCCACTTTTCCGAAGAAGGTGACATCAGCCGTCACTAAGAAACGAAATGTAGGAGTCGTAAAAAGACCTTAAAAATTTCGCATAAGTCTTAGCTGTTATCTAGAGTATGAGACAGGTATTTTTTATTCCTATGTTTTGATCAAGATAATCGGGGCGAAAGTAGCTTATGTAGGCCCACTCATATACCCCTAGTCCGAGGATTTGCCCTGCAAAAACGGTGGTTATAGAGTTTTGGGGCTGGGGAAACAGGATAGGCAGAGAATTAAGTGTAAAGTGAAAAAAATATAGTTGAAGTTCCCTCCCGCGGCCGCTGGGAGTAAATTGTTCCGCATGTAAATTGAAGGTGTGCGCGGCGCTTCGCGCCTCGGACCTTACTAATCTAACTCCAGAACGGTAAGTTGGACCTCAGGTAAGTTGAAGTAGCAACCTTCTTACTACCATTTTAATTTTTTGGGAAATTCAAGAAACCTGCAATTTGATAATCGGATTTTTCCGC